AGTTCCGCGACCCCGTCCCCAAACAGCCGAGAGCGGCTGCTCCATTCACGTTTTTTACTAAAGCACCCACACAAGTTTCTGTGCAATGTACAAACACGAGCCGGCCCGCGGCTACTGCCTCCTCCTCCGAGACCGGGAGGCGGGAATCAGACTGATCCAAGCCCCACCCGCCCCCCATGCAAAGGCCAACCCCAAGATCCCAGGCAGCGACACAGCACCCCCTCTGGTCCCCTCCTGGGGCTGCTCCTCAGCAAGGGGCACACCAACGTTTGCCCCCTGCAATGTTGAATGAAAAAGGTTTCCCCTCCCCTGGGAGTGTGGGGGATCCCCAGGTCTGAGAAGTCCCCCTGGAAGAGACGCTGCCCCCTAGTCATACCTCCTACCCTTCCAGGCCCTAGGGGACTCAAGGGAGGGGAAACTGAGGCACAGAGGTGGAGTGACCTAGGCCAGGCCACTCCGCGAGGCAGTGCAGGGGCTGGCCCGACCCTGACGGTGAGAGGGGCTGGGCTTGGGGGGAGTGGGGCAGGAAGGAGGGTTAACTCCAGAGAGGGCCACACTTGAGGGGCCTGCCCAGACTGGAAGCTCCCCCAAAGTGGATTCTGAAACTTCCAGGTGCAGCTGGGGAGTCTACTGAAGACCCTCAGAAAAGAGCCCACAGTCTTAGTCTTGGGGGGTCCCCCACAGAGCAGCCGCCAGCCAGGCTGCAGGTCAGTCCTCTGGCAGGCAATCCTGGGCACTGAGTGCCTCTGTCCGTTAGTCAGCCCCGAGGGGGCCATGATGGGGGCCGCCCAATGTCCACTGTGATGTTGGTGAAGAGCGGCTGCCGGGACACTTCCAAGACCTGGTACCGCACTGACCCGATGCCGTCCCGCTTCATGGTCAGCTTCGTGTTTTGAATCTTGGTAAACCTAGATAGGATGGAAATAGGTCCAGAGTAGGGCTCACCACCAAGCTCAATGTGGGATCCCGGGAGCCAAGGCTCAAGCCAGCAGGCACCGGTCTGATCTTGTATCCATTCACAAAACAAAGATCGTGCTCCCTCTGGCCAGAAAGCAGAACTGTGACACCCTCACCAACACTCCTCAGCTCAGACCTTCCTCCAAGGCCTTAGACCTGAGACATCCCACAGGCACCTCAAAAGCAGTATGTCCTGGGCCTGCAGGTTGTATGATGAATTAAAGCGCTGGACACTCCCACATGGCTGATCACAGTTCGAGTCCCAGACCTGGTGGCTTGCTTTCTCACTTTTTTTCTCTCTGCGTATCTATCTTTCTCTGGTCAAGTGAAAATAAATGAATGAATAAATAAAATTAAATAAATCATTCTTTTTTTTTTTTAAAAAAAAGCAGTATGTCCTATGCTGGATACTGGATGCAGCCTCTTTACTCCCCAGACCTGGCCCATCTTTGGTTCCTTGGTGGTGAAGAGCGGCTGCCGGGACACTTCCAAGACCTGGTACCGCACTGACCCGATGCCGTCCCGCTTCATGGTCAGCTTCGTGTTTTGAATCTTGGTAAACCTAGATAGGATGGAAATAGGTCCAGAGTAGGGCTCACCACCAAGCTCAATGTGGGATCCCGGGAGCCAAGGCTCAAGCCAGCAGGCACCGGTCTGATCTTGTATCCATTCACAAAACAAAGATCGTGCTCCCTCTGGCCAGAAAGCAGAACTGTGACACCCTCACCAACACTCCTCAGCTCAGACCTTCCTCCAAGGCCTTAGACCTGAGACATCCCACAGGCACCTCAAAAGCAGTATGTCCTGGGCCTGCAGGTTGTATGATGAATTAAAGCGCTGGACACTCCCACATGGCTGATCACAGTTCGAGTCCCAGACCTGGTGGCTTGCTTTCTCACTTTCTTTCTCTCTGTGTATCTATCTTTCTCTGGTCAAGTGAAAATAAATGAATGAATAAATAAAATTAAATAAATCATTCTTTTTTTTTTTTAAAAAAAAGCAGTATGTCCTATGCTGGATACTGGATGCAGCCTCTTTACTCCCCAGACCTGGCCCATCTTTGGTTCCTTGTCCTTTAGTCACTCTTTCACCCTCTACTTACTGAGCATTCCCCTGGACCACCCATGGACCAGCCTGTACTCTGCAGACCATGCAGCCGTGAGCAGGGCAGGTAACAGGCAAGGACAGTGAGAAAGAAATGACAGCTGCCTTGGAAGGGGCGAGTGACATCCAACCAAGGGCAGGATGAAGAGAATTCCAGGCAGAAGTGAGAGTGCACACTCATCCCAAATTGGGAATAAGATTTTGCAGTTGGGTGGCTAGACCTTAATGGTCCAGGGGGAAAAACAGAGTAAGCCTAGGGGTTTGAGCACGGGTGGGCAGAGCTTTGTACATCAGAGCGAGCAGTTCACAAGTTATTCTGTGAGAAGACTCTGGGATTTCTAACCCAGTTTGGGGTAGGGGTGGGATAGGCTATCAAAGAGCAAAGGGCAGCAGGAAAACTAGAGGCCTCTGCAGCAGTCCAGGCAGGAAAGCTAGCCTGCAGTTCCCAACCATTTTGGCACCAAGGACCAGTTTCACGGAAGACAATTTTTCCATGGACTGGGGCTGGGAGGGTGGTTTATGAGAACACACAAGCTAGATCCCATCTATGTGCAGTTCACAACAGGGTTTGTGCTCCTACAGGAATCTAATGCCATTGTGGATCTAACAGGGGGCGGAGTCAGGCAGTGCTGTGAGCAATGGGGAGTGGCTATAAATACAGAGGAAGTTTCCCTCAAGTGCCCGCCACTCACGTCCTGTGCTGCCCAGCTCCCAACACGCCATGGAGACCAGTACCAGTCCATAGCTGGGGCTTGGGGACTCCTGGTCTGGGGGGACAGGTAATAAAGGGGAAAGTGGATGGGCTCAGGTATGTTTTGCAGTGCCACTGACATGACTTGCTGATAGTTTGGACATGTGGAGTGAGGGAAAGAATTCAGATGAACTAGATTTGAGGCACAATTAACTGGGTCAATAGAACCATCATCCAGAGTTTCTTAAGTTTGAAAGTTCTTGCTGTGTGGCCATTTTCACGCCCAAGGCAGACATTACTAATTGATGGCACCCAGATGAACCATTCCTGAAATGGGACCAAGGCTCCTGGAACACACCTGTAGAGCCCCCTTCCCATTGTCATCCCAACTGTTTTGATCCTGCCAGGTCTGAGCTCAGCTCAGATCCCTCTCCTGACATCCTGGGACCAAGCACTCTCACCTGGAGGCTCTGAAACACGCCCCCCCACACACACACACACACACCGCTCCCAGTCTGCCATCTCTTCCCTACTGACCACAACTTTTTTTTTTTTTTTTTAAGATTATCTTGCCACAGGGCACACGCACTCACCAGAGAGAGAAAGAGAAAGGGAAAGTGACAAGTCATCCCCCAAGGCGGAATGGCCATACGACAATCCTTTCTCCTCATTCTCCTCCTGGGGTTTTGGGCATGTGTGCCCACATGGCTGGAGTGATTTTCAAGCCATTAGGTCTGGGATCCAAACTTCAGTCAGCATGTGGGAGCCCAGCACCTTCATCTCCACACCAAATGCTGGCCCCCTGACCATAGCTTTCACCTGAACTACGAGTTATCAGATCCCTGGACTCCCCTGAGCTGTATGTTCTTTCTGCCATCACAGTGCTGCAATCCAGCCCGGCCCCTGTTCTCCACCCTGGGCTCACAGCAGAAGACTCTACCATTCAAGCTGGGGCTCAGCAGCCCACGTCCTTACCCAGCCTGTCCCTCGAACTCCATTTGTTTCTTCAGACTGGAGCCACTTCCTCTCCTGCACCAGCCCGCGAGGCCAGCCCTTCGCCTTTCTCAAGCTCCAAGAGAAAGTCGCCCAGTACCAAATCTGAGCCGACCGCTTTCTGCTTAAAGCCCTTCCATTTCTCCCCAGTCCCTCTGGACAATAAACTCTCAGCCTGCTATTTGAGATCCCTAACACTCAGCACCGACTCCCCCACACACTTATTGTCACTACTAGCCTTCAGAGATCTTAAAAACATAGCATTTAGGGGCCAGCAGATGGCGTATTGGTTACATCACTGGACTCCCAAGGAGTCGACCACAATTTGAGTCCCAGACCCAGCAGCTTAAAACTCTCGCTGGGTGTGTATGCATGTGTGCTCAAAATCTTGAGAGGGAGGCCAACATATAAAGTGGTAGATAAGGTGCTAGACTCCCACATGGCTGACCACAGTTGAGGTCCTGGACCTGGAGGCTTGCTTTGTTACTTTCCTTTTCTCTCTCCCTCTGTCTCTCTGGTCAAATTAAATAATAATAATAATAATAATAACAACAACAACAATAACAAATAAAATAAAATAAATGATTTTAAAAAATCTTGAGAGGGGAATGGAGAAGGGATTGCAGAGTGGCCATCCCCCAGGGGGTGATTTCTCACTTTCT